ATATATATATACAGAGACGCATTCGATATATAAGATGCAATTTCTGTAACTTTAACTCTATTTATGATTAGATAGATGAATCGATCGTTGAAATATCCGCGATCTATACTGCAATTTGTGTTTTTTTTTCAAATTAGATATTCTCTCTCTCTCTCTTTCTCTCTCTCTCTCTCTCTCTCTCTCTCTCTCAACGTAACATTTATTCACAACTGGATTACACGGTTGCAAGTGTAATTTTACACAAGCGCGAGTATGAAATGGTCTTCTTGAAAATTAGATTTGAAAAAGAGAAAAAATTGGAGAAAAATCATGAATCAATCTCGTAAGGAGAATAAAATCATCGCCTCGTGCGACGTGAAGGGATGCTCCGGCTCAAGAGAGCATCCTTTGGAGAAAGAGATTATTAACAAATACTTACGTTGACGCGAAACATAGTCTGCACTTCAAAGTAACCCGGACACGAGTCAAGAACAAGAGAAAACGGCGGCGCGGATACATTACGAACTGCGCGCATGATGCCGAGCGCGAGGAGACTAACGATAGTTGTGGCAAAAACTGTGCCGGGCATCAGCTCCGTATAAATGTCCAGGGCCTTCCAGGCACCGCGCCAAGCGTTCACGCAGCAAAAACCAAACACGCCGGTGTAGATTCGTGAGCCGAGATAGTAGGACAACCGATGCTTATCTGGATGCAGAATGTCATTCAAGCCATGTTGCAGCACGTTGAAGGCAAAGAGGCCAGTGAAGCCGATTGTGATCGACGCGAAGCTGCTCAACACTGGCTCATCCGGGTAGACATAGAAATCGCTGAGTTCCCAAGTGCCGCGCCAGTAACCAACCACCGCCGGCGCAGCTACGAGCGCGGAAAATATCGTATCCAGGATCGTCAAGATGGCATAGTGCAGACGATTTGATGATCTGGTGTCTAGATTTCCAGCCATCCTGGCACCAGTCGCACGCAACTCCACCATTCTTACCCAATCCGGATCGAACTTAGTAGTCACGCCGCTCGTCATTATGCATCGTTCGCTTCGAAATTATATATACTATCGTGTAGTTTATAGATGAGAGAAAGAAATGAAATTAAAAAGGGAGTCAACTTTGAAAAACGAATGCCAACTTATCTAGATGCTAGATCACACGTTCGATATTTTGTTCCTGATATATATTTTCGTGCCAACATTCGATTCAATTTTCGCTTGATGCGGCGGTTCTTATTCATTAAGACTAGCTTTCGTCGTCGTTGTCGTCGTCATCGTCGTCATCATCGCCGTCGTCGTCGTCATCGTCGTCGTCGTCGTCGTCGTCGTCGTCGTCGCCGTCGTCGTCGTCATCGTCGCCATCGCCGTCGCCGTTGCCGTCGTTGCCGTCATCATCGTCATCGCCGTCGTCGTCGTCGTCATCATCGTCGTCGTCGCCGTCGTCGTCGTGACATTGCAAACGAGTCTTCTATCTAGAAAGAACGGTGGCATGCCTTCTTTTATCGTATTCTTTCATTAGAATTTGAGTCAACTTTTTTAGTGTTCTGAGAAAGTAATATAAATTCGCTCAACATTCGCTCTCATTGAAGTTTCTTCCAGTGGTTTGCTATGAAATTTGCTATGAAATTCTCTTCCTATTTCTCCTCGAATATAAATCAGTTATCACACGATTCTTGCAGGCACTCGTCGGACAGAGGATAATCGCTTTTTCAAGAATTGGAGAGAGAAAATCTCGGAAAAAATGAAAGATAATATACGGAAGTTATTCGCATCGATATCCACCTCGAGGGTTGCTCTCTCTCTCTCTCTCTCTCTCTCTCTCTCTCTCTCTCTCTCTCTCTCTCTCTCATCCGAGCGCTTATAGGCGCTTAGGCGCTTAGGGCCGACGAACTCGATCAAGGAATCGGATCGTACAGCCGACCAGGCCGGTCAGGCCAGGCAACGGTCAGGATGACTACTGGCTTATCTTCGTATAACCGCTATCTTTTATCAAGATCGCTAACCGCTAAACGCGCGGGCCAACACTATCGCATATTAGCGCGAACAACGTTGAAGCGTCGCTGACGCGACAGAGTACGGACCACCGGCGAATAGTACGGAGGATAGTACCCGCGGTATGCTCTCCTTTCCTCCCTCGTTCTCTCCTATGCTGACGATCCCCCACCTACGATGCATATGCGTTATAATCACCTCGTTTCATCGTGTATTGCGGTGCTATCACCGATTAGAACGATCGGTGGCAGCCGATGACAGCCACGCGCGTTCCCGCGTGATAATATTCCAAGACTATTCGGTGCATGATCTTCAAACTGGCTGATCAAATCGTCGCATCGCATCCACACACGATCACTTATGTCGTCTTTCTCATCTTCCGATGCAAGCGAATCAATTTTTCTCCGTCATTTTTGATTTTAGATATTCTATTATAAAAGAATTAAGAAAGTGTCGTCATTCCTTGAGTATATAGGTATTTCAATGAAGAGACTTATTAAAATTTTTTATTGCTATTAAAAGTGGCTAGAAAAATCTGGAAAAAAAAATACAAATATTTAGATACTTGTGACAAAAGTAAAACAAGTATTTTTTTTTAAAAAGAAACATTTGAAATTAAATCGCCAATAATCAAATGTAATCAACCAATAGAAAAATGCAATGGTTAAATTTCAAGGATAGTCTTGTTGATTTTATTCCGATAGAGAAGAATATTTCAATTACAATAGCATAATTTTTAGTCACCTTGATATTATTTTTTTCTGAGCAATGTTTCCGGCCTCGTATTCACTTATCCATTGACGTATTCATTTAGCCATTGACGCTTTAGCCAAAATCGTCGCTAATCGACTCTTTTTTGTGTATCAATCAAGCTTGGGTTACAACATCTCATCTTCGTGAAACTCTTGATTCATCTCAGTGAGTCTCAGGGTCACAAGATCCATTATCATGTCAAAAATGTCATACGGAAAATATTGAAAATAATATGAATTCTCGAATGTTTGTTCCATAAACTTATCTGAAATTATTCGTGACCATAATGCGCGCGCGATTCGATACGCACACGTATCGATTTTGATAGAAAAAAACTCAAATTAATTAATCTATATTGAATGATCCATATGATTAATTGAGTCTGACATGATGTAGATATATTTATGTATGTATTTAAATATGTATTATAAAAATAATCAGTTAAACTATCTATAACATTCTAAGATGAATATAGAAAGTTTTTAACCCTCGCAGTATTTTTATTTTCGTCGTTATCACACAAAGGGGGGTATAGCATACTCCATCAATGTCAATCAATGTTTCTAATTTTCGATAAAATCCACATTAAAGTAAATGTGTAAAATCTTCATTTTGTGGAGGACCTAAATAAGGACATATAAGTAGAAACGCAACTAGAAAATTGTAAATTACAAAAAATATTTATTGAGTAAAAGTCAATTTTTCAAACTATTACGAAAAATGTTTTTGTTTCAAAAAATTATTATAATCGTACTTAATATAAAGATAAAAATAAGGAAATTAACGAAATGAACTATTAAAAGTATATGTTTTAATTAAAAGCATATGTCAAAATATTAATTCTCGTACAAGTGCATACATTTATTTTGACAAATAAAATTGCATGATTTTTTTTTTATAGAAAAAACACGATTGCTACCGCTTTTTCACACACAACTGACGATGCTAGGAAAAAATATACATTGACTCAATCTTTTTCTCCTCCTACACTTAGTACCTCATTTTCCGGTTTCTACAAATGCTGCGCAATTTTTAAATGTTCTGAGTATATCATATATAGTATATAGTAACCGAGAGTTAAAAATAATTCAGTTAACAAATTTTTATTTATTGAAAATTATAAAACGCAGTGATATTTATATTTCTTAAAAAATGTTACGTCGTATGAAAAGCTATTATATATATAATGTACACACACACACACACACACACACACACACGCGCGCGCGCGCGCGCGCGCGCACACATTTGAATTTAAATTAGATATTAATAAGACATATCAAAGATAAATAAGTAATGAATTGATAGTAGCTACTTGTAATAATGAAACTAAATCTATATAATATAGTATTGCTTATGTTTGTTTGAAACATCGTTTAGAAACAACTATATGAAATTTTAATAATTTTTCCTCTCTCTCTCTCTCTCTCTCTCTCTCTCTCTCTCTCTCTCTCTTTCTGCTGATTATAAATAATATTTGAAAACAGATTACATTTTTCTTTCATTGCTATATTTAACAATGATGTTATACGTAACTCGTCACTGGAAATTTCTGACTTGAGAAGAAACAATCACGTCAAATTTCGCAGATAAAATCAACTCATATCAATACGATCGTTATAAATGATCGATAAATTGTGTCAAATATGATCGAAAAATTTGATAACGTTTTTTTGCAGATAAGTAATGTTAGTTTACGTCCGTATGCAATCACAGCGCCTGCGTATCTCTATTATCAATGCATGATAATCAGAGTAAGAACGCGTTTCGTAAACTTCCGGGGAAAACCAACACAATTAAGACGTCGTGTGATTTTTCTGTTTATAAAGTTGCAAGAGTTCTCGACTGTTTGCTTTTCCCTTATCATTTCCACATTTTTCGATCGACAAATTTTACGTCCATATTGGAGAAATCATTCAAAGAATTGAGAAAAGAGAAAAGATCAGGAAAATTCTTGTTGAAGAACAAAAAACAAAAGTAAGAAAAACGTGAAATATATATATGTATGTATATATATGTGTGTGTATATATATATATATATATGTGTGTGT